CTCACCAATGGACACACATACAATTAAAATGTGACAGAGGTTCTTTCCCCTCGACACGCTGCTTAAAGTGTATCTAAACCCAAGTAATCTATTGCAGCTTATCAGTCATTAGATGTGGTTGTCTTAGTTTTTCTTTCCACCTAGAGATCCTGCCAATAACACACATCCTGTCCTACAGTGACAACACTCATAGTACTGTATCTATGAAGAAGCAGCATTGTCACCCAAGGACAGGATTGTGTTAGGACTACAGAACACCTAGCCAACATGGGAGGAAGGGGGAGGGGGAATCTGTAGTCCACAGAGAGAGAGCTGGGAACAATGATTACTGATAACATTCGAAAGAGCACACAGGCTGTTATCAGTTCACTAGATTTCTACCAGAATCAACAAGTATCTTTTATTGAACTTAGAGAACAGATATAACAAAAATCTTTCAATGGTATGCGGACCAAGAATGATCAAACAATAGAAATTCAATGTCAGGGTTTACATATACCTATATGTGTTTTTATTGCTGTCCCATATCCCCTCACTGTCCATCTTGGTCACCATTGTCAGTAGGGCAGAAGAGAGGGGAATCCTTCCCTAGATGTAGCAAGACAGCAATACAAATCTCACATTGTTTTTATCCTTCCCTACTCCATCCAAAAATTTAAATCATTATAGGTCTGGAATTCTATTTTCATTTATCTTTGAATATAAAAATATACCTGACAAATGTATTAGGGTCTCTTAATGGGGTAAAACACGGGACTGGGAAGAGGGCTCATATCATAGAGCTCAGCAAAGATGGATAAGGGTTCGGAGGTCCAACCGAGTGCTTTTTTCATCAACATATTGCTATTAAAAATCAACTGTATATCTGATAGTTGATCTGTCACCTTTGATATATAGTATCACTAAATGTGATTTTTAATGCCATTTATTAGTCATCTGATATAAAATAGCCAGAATGACACTCTGACGAAAGGCTCACCCTGTTGTGTCTATGAAGACAGCGGGGGATTTATACACATGTAAGCATTGATGGAGGAATCTGTTATATTTTCTTCGTTCAGCCCAACGGTTGAACAAAGAAACTATAACCGTGTATACCCAGCTTATTTCAGGAGATCCTTCTGACACGCTTCTGTTATAAAGGACTCTTCTTTACTTTACTTAGCAAAGCCATATCGTCCGCTCTTTTCTCCACATAATATCACTTAATTTAGGAGAAGCTGTGTAGCAAATTATTTTGCTAAAAGAGAGGGAGGAGGCAGACTGATTTAGAAAGTATGTATACAAACGGAACACAGTAAAATGGAAATCATAGACCAGGGGTAGGTAAACTCTGGCCCTCCAGCTATGCTGAAACTACAAATACAATAAGGCATTGTAAGACTCTGACAGCCCCAGGCATGACTTCCAGAGGGAGATGAATGATTGGATTTGTAGTTTCACCCCAGCTGGAGGGTCAGAGTTTACTTACCCCTGTCATAGACCGTACTCTCAGCTGACTATCAGGTCATCTATTTCTATGGAAAGAGATGTATTTATTATTAGTCATTTGAGGCAAAAAAAACTATACTTCAAATTTTCACCGCTACAATTCGCCTAGTGCTACTACTAAGGTAGGACTTAAAAGATCCTGTCACCAACTTAAAAAATTGCAGGTAAAAGCATACAAAAATCAAGTATCCTAACTCCTCACTTGCATTGATTCTTCTTTCTATAAACATTCCATAAACATTTTTAATTCACTTCCAATGTGCCATCTTGGAACTTGCTAAGGAATTTCGACCACTCATAGCACATTCTCTAAATTTCCTAGCACAGGCACAGCTCCCCCTACCTCCTGTTATGTCATAGCCTTCTCCACAACTGAGAGTTTCTAATTACTGTCTGTGCTGGCCAGGGGCGGACTGACCATTCGGGAAGTCGGGCACGGACCGAGGGCCCGCGGCCATCAGGGGGCCTGTCACTGACCGTCCCCTCGCCGCTGCCTCTCTGCCATCTGCACCCGGTCAGCCACCCGGGTCAGATGCGGCTCTGTAATAGCCGGCTGCTCGCTCCTCAAGGGGGTCCTCGGCAGGTCCCCAGCGGGCTGCCCTCTACTGGCCCAGCTTCTCCACCCCTTCCCCCATCTCCCTATGTAAACTTTAATGTAGCTGCCAAGGGTAAAATGAAGGGGAGTGTCATTTGAGTGACAGCATTGAGTCTGCTGTCATCACATCCAAAATGGTGGTGCTCAGCAATCGTCTCAGGCCTTTTGGGTGTCTACACATAGTGGGCGTTTATAGGTAATTAACATGCCTAAAACACGTTGAACGCCCATATAATGTTAGGAGAAGATTGTTGTTAAAGTGAATGGTTCTTGTTACAAGGGCCTCTTTAAAGGAGAACTATGAGGTGAGTGCTTTTCACTCACCTCATAGTTCTAGCCGACCGGTGACAATGAGACTGTCACAGGTTGGCTCAATAGATCGGGAGGTGAGCGAACACATACCGGCGTTCGCTCACTTCTCGATCCTGTCACGGCTCTCTGCCGTGACAGGGGAGGGGCTGGATTCCTCCCTCCCCGCTCCGATCCGCCAGCGCTGACTGGTGGCTCGAACGGGGGGGGGGGGGGGTACAGCTGGCTCTGCCTCTACATAGGCAGAGCCAGCTGTCAGTCACGCAGCTGGGCGGATCCCGCCACAATTGTCGGGATCCACTTCAGCTGCGGTGTCTCAGTATACCGCAAGCTACAGCTCGCGGTATACTGAACCTAGGGTGACGGGAGGACGCTAGTTTGTGTCCTCCCGTTACCCTAAGGAGAACTATGGGGAAAAGACTTAACCCCATAGTTCTCCTTTAAGATAAATCTGTGGTAATATTTTATGTGCAGCTGATAGCGTAAAACAGAAGCTGTTAGCATTGTACCTTTCTGATAAGGGCGCCTTCAACATCACCAAGACCCCTCCCTTAATGACAGTGGAGAAGATGCAAGCCCCTTACCCACAATCTAAAATGCAATGTCCACAGTCAAAGCAACCTATCAGCATGCCGGGTTATGTCCTCACAAAAACAAGATTTAAAAGATATGCATTGAAATATAATTGTAGAAGAAAGGTCTATCTATGAATAAAAAGCATGCCAACATTTATTAGGCCACAATGAAGTGTTCGAAAGAGGTTTACACACAAACCAACACAATGCATAAGCCATGTAACATGCCCTGGCCATTAAGCTACAGCGCAACCCTGGTGCTTAAGGAGTTAATGCAGCTTATCTCTTCACGCTTTCATTAAAAAGTGGTGAGACACCAGTTCTTTGCTCTTTAGAACTTTCCACATTAGAAACTTGACTGCATCAAATTGTACAGATACTACCTGCTGACCCCAGGCGGTTCCTATTGATTTTTACTGCCGGAGGCAAAATTCTAAGCTTCCCTCCTCCCCCACCACAGCATCTTCTGTATATAAAGACATATACATAATGCACACAGTTTTGCTGGAAAGAATGTACTGCTTGGCATGTGCTGTCACAGTTGTGAAGGATGTAGAACAATCTGTTATAAAGCAGAAATGGAAACTTGCAAAAAACAGGTTGGCAGAAAATGTTCCTGCATAAGAGGAACCAAGAAAGAATTCATTTTTCTGCATTTCCTGAAAATACCATTTCTTTACTCATCTAAAGCTGGAGCCATCTTTCACTTCCCCTGGCTTTCTTTTTCCTGATCATTTGAACAATAATATTAGTGTAATGCCACACATATGTAAACCCTACAAGGGAATGCCCTTGAGTAGTGCATCCACTGCTATGACAGGTCAAGTTTTAGGGAACCCTATAATTCAGAGCTCCAATTTTCTGCATCAAAGATGCGGGCATTACACTGAGCACATTTCGTGCAGTTCTAGATAAACCAGATGAAATTTGCACAGTGGGTGCCCCAGTCCGCAGCCTTCTGTCTGGCATCCTATGATCAGAAAGGTTCCGGATGGAAAATTTCTGGGTGAGTATTCTGACAGTGGCACACTCGCCTCTGTCAGAAAACAATAGCCAGCTTAGGAATGGCAGCAAATGCACAGACGGAAGGGACCCATTAACCACATAGTAATAAAGAGAGGGGCTCAGAAAAAATAAATAATAGGTTACATGATGCACTGCTCCAAAAAAAAGCTTTAGCCTTCAGTTACAACAGTGTTTGTACATGTTTATATTTGTAGTTTCTAATTATACATATACACGGGGGCAGTTATGTTTACATATTACACATGCAGTCTCTGCTTTCTACTTTGCAGTGCTTACAAGTTGTGTCCTTTATTCCTCTCTTTCACAATAAAAGCCTATGAGTCAGTAAATTCCTGAATACAATGCATTCCATGTTGGCTAATGTCAACAGATTACATTTAAAAATGATAACGCTGAGATACTAGGGACTCCATTTAGTGGCTTATGTATAAATCTCTGCATTTCATTAATTAACCAAAATATGGAGGAGAAAGTATACACAAATGTGAAAGTTACACAAAACAATGCAATAATAACTCAATATATGAGCCTAACAAAAAATCAGTCTGGAAGCCGTTCACATGTCACCAGCTAAAAGACATGCGACTTTGTTCTGTGAGGTCATTTTCAAAGCTACACAAACGCTGTTCACCATTTAGTGACCAGCAGGAAACTAGTTCTGTAGTATGCTTGGAATAACATTAACCGCACCAGGCAATGATAACATCATTCCATTACACCACCAAACCTGACCCTTACTCTCTGGGACCCAAAGTGAGGTCCCTATCTGAGGCAGGACCTTCACCTCATGGAAGACAGGGCTCTGGCTGACCAAGTACAGGAGGATCCCTCAAACCTCACACAGGGGAGGGGGTTAAGGCATGGGCACTACATGCAGCACTTTAAGACATAATCTAGTTTTCTTTAACATACTTTGCCCCTTCACTTCCACATATCACAGTGATCTGGTCCTTTCCAATGTGACAAGCATATTTATATATATTTTTTTTACATTAGAAATTTACCTGGGAGAGCCATTTTCTTCCCATGGTGCACTGGACTTACTTCTTTGGACATCTGGGCTGTTCTCGCATTTGACCTTTTTTGAGCTGAAAAACAGAAGTGTAATCCAGGGAATAAGGTCACATTGATATGACGATATACTAGCAGTATATGCTACCTTTTTGTATAATTACAGTATGTGAAACTTTTTTTTCCGCCGGTTGTTTCTGAAAGTGTTATATATATGACAATGGTGTTACATTTACTCATTGCAAGCTGTACAAACCAGCTGATCTTGCCTAAACATTTTATAAAAAGATAAGTCCAGCATTCTGCATAGGGCTGTAGACTGCGAATACTAAAATCTATTGACTTTACTAGACACTGTGCAATGAGCAGAATGTGCATTTGAAGATAGCTTCTTTCTGGGGGTGTTATGGAAATGAGGACAATGCCAATAGCGATACATTTAGGAGAGATAATATAAGGGGCCTTGCAAGCTAAGGCAACTGGAAATAATAGATGGATTGACCGTGTCTAGAGAATAGCTGTATATAATACACTTTTAAGTCTATAGATGAACTTATAAAATATATAGAATGATTAATAACACAAAAATAACATTATGTTCTGTGTTTCCTATTGTATAAAAGTTAAGTTTTTTTGGTAATCGAATGATCCTGGTGATGGTCTCATTTTCAGCAACCCTGGGAAGTCTCTAGGCACGCAGTCACTCTAAGTTACAAAGTTTCACTGCCTAAGCCATTGATGCAATGTTCTCTATAGTAATGATGTCATTTACGTCAATGAAGCATTTTCTATGCCTGTTGGCACTTGTTAAGGGAAATTAATACATGTGGAAGAGCTTGTATTGAACTGAGAAATCATTAGCGAAACAATTACTCTCAAAGGAACAATAAGGACATGTGTGTTGCTGGGGCAGTCGTTAAGAAATTCTACACTTTTAAAGACTTAAACATGTGAAATGAAATACCATATATATATATATAAAACAATTCGTCAGCACTTTCTAAAAGCCCTGAGAACAGTCTACAAGGTACTGGACAAATTATACCAAATGAGTTTATTAGAAAAAGAGAAATATATAGAACACATCTCTAAAAGGAGCCCATACACTGTACGATTATCGTACGAGAATTGCGGGAAATCCCGCGATCGCATGATAATCACAAAGTGTATGGAAGGCATGCGACCGTTTCTAATGTACGATCGCACGTCTTCCGTCGAACAAGCAGGCTGGAAAACCCGATTCTCGGCGGGTTAGTGGCGTGCTTGTTCGACAACTGCCGAACGGGCCGGTGTGAGCACGCGCACACTGCCCGCTCAGCATTGCAGTCATCAGAAGCCCGCCCCTCAGGGGGGCGGGCTTGCGATGATCGCAAGTACGATCTGCCTGTCCAAGATGGGCAGGTCGTACGTTTTTAAAATTATTTTACAACCCTCGCAAGACAAAAGTATTTCGAGGGTTGTACAGTGTATGGCCACCTTAACACAGATATTACCAAGATATTCCATGAACGCCAGCTAAAGTTGATTGTAATAATGTGTTCAGTATCATTTCAGAGCCTTTTTTGACTCACTTAATGCCACCTAATGATAACTATATTCACTATGTGGAGGTTGAATATGCAGAAATAATCTTAGCACTGAAAAAATGTATTAATAGTTGTTCCATGAACATGCATGATTGTATTGCTTGAGCATGCATGCCCATCTAGAAGAAGAACAAAATGACACCTCTAGCAATAGTCATATAGAAAACAAGAAACCAATAGTGTTAGGCTGAAAAGAATCCAGCCCACCAATTAGTCAACCCTCTGAAATCTGCTAACCAATGCCGCCTGCTAGTAACTATACTGTAGGCATAAGGTTTACCACCCAATACAATACAATAGAAATCAGCAGGTTAAGTCAGCAGTCACCTTATTAGCCACAACAGCATTTCTCAACCTTTTCTCAGTCACAGCACCCCTTAAATGCATGCATAATCTGCATAATCTCGAGACGCCCCAGTCTAAAATGTAAAAAACAACGTGTGGCCTCTCCAAAATCAATATCAGACCCTTATCCAAGACAGGATGGAATTTAAGGGGGGACATATGCAAAAACACAAAAAAATAAGGTTCCCTCCCTCTTCAAATCAGGAGCCCCTCCTTCACTTTAGGAGCCCCCCTTTACATTAGGAGGTCCCTTCACATCAGAAGCCACCTCCTTTCACATCAGAGTCCCCCCCCCTCACATCAAGAGCCCCCCCTTTTCACATCAGAAGCCCCCCTTCACTTCAGAGTCCTCAGTCCCCTCTGCACACCTGAGTCCTACAAACACAACAGGAGCCACAGCTGTGACAGCAGGGCAGAGGGCGGGAGGCAGAGCAGAACCGAATGGAGGTGAGCTTGCTTTTCCGAATGGATACCACTATCCCAGGATTAGCATAATTTTTCTCCATAGTGCTGGTGGCCAGGTCACCTTCACCATGGAAAGACATGATGCTGTATAAACAATTTGAGCCACCCTTGAGGAAGCTAGAATGCATCCCAGCATGTCACAACATGCTGGCTGAGAAAGGCTGAGCTACACCAACATTCTCTTCACGTAATATATTCATATCTTCTACTGTTCTCTCTGTACACAAGTGCAGGAACGCAGTAGTCAGGGAGCTTCTCCAAAGCTTTCATCATTTACTATTTGCAGAGAGCCACAAAAGGAGACCATTTATTCTATACTTGTGTTCAGTTCCTTCTTTATTAGCGTATGGTTAATTCATTTAACAATATATGTTTAAAAAGTATTATCTTCAGTATGTATTTTCTTTTTTAGAAAATTATTGTTTTGACTTGCTTTAGAACAAAGGAATGTATATTCCAGTTATCCGTATGTGCATACAATAATGTTACTGGTAGTTTTTCAGTTGTTCTGGACTGGAACTGATCACAAACTACAGACATCCTATTGCCATCTACTATGACACTTTTTCTTTCATTTTTCAGTGTTCATGTTGAGATTTGTTTCGTACAAAAACGCCACTAATCCATCGATTTTCGTATGATTCGAAAAAAAATTCCAGCCTGGCCAATTGAGGAAATTCGGCCAGCAGTACAGTAATTCTGATCGTTCACTTCCCATCAACTGGCTGATTATCGTATGCAAACCCGATTGTGTTCAATTTCCGACCGATAATCGCAAGGTGTACAGGCACCTTTACGCCTTTTTGTGAACCAATCAAGCCACAGATGGTTAAATAGCATCAGGTCTTGACCAACACTAGGTCATCTACTGTATGTACAAAACACTTGGTATAAATCCACTGAGGGAAGACTACATTAGAATTATCACCGGTTTTGACATATGTTTATGCCCGAGGCAACTACACCCTTCTATCTTTATTATCTTTCTCTTTCCTTCCTTTTCTCTTTTCCATTTTAACTGCAATATACAATATGTGGCTACTTGTGGGGTCATTTGTGGACCATGCTATTTTTTACTGATTACTATAAAATAAATAAAAGTGGACAAGAAATTATCATCGCCAATGAGCTATCCAGACTTCTGGGGAATTTTATTTTGAGCAGTGCAGTTGATCTCCACTATTCTGATCTTCAACAGGAGATGAAAATGCTAGGAGTGTATCATAAACATCTTTATCCCATTTTACAGGAAAAAGCCGGTGTTCACCCAGCACTAAGCAGCTAATTACAGAACACATGTGTATGCTGAGGATTTAGCAGTCATTCCTAAGCTGTCATTACACAAGAGGATCTGATAACTGAATAATCAGACTGCAAAAGATCCTCCATGCACCCAGCATGCGTATCCACTATTCAGTGTCAGGCAATCTCTCCATTACTGCCAGTAAAGCAGTACCATGTGGTGCCATGTTATCTCTAATGATCTCTGTTTTATCAGCAGAGATAAGAAGATAATTTGACGGGAAAAAAAAATTCTAACCCATCTGTTCAGCTGCAGCCCTGGTGCTTATCTCTGTATACAATCAATCACATACCATACAAGTCAGTGACTGATGCACCACTGGCCAGACTGTAAAGCAATATTTTTCTGTATATGACCACCAATAGCATGGGATGTGCATGGATATTGCTCCTAGATTGGGTTTTCTCTTCTTCCCTCTTTCAAATAATTACTTTTTTGAAAATGCAAATCTGTGGTATAGAAACTTGATATTTTCATTCAGGACGCTTACTGGAAATACCTAGCAATTTGCATTGAAACACTTCCCCGCACCTTCTACTGTCTAGTGTTCCTTTTGTTCCTGGGCTTACTATGTGACATCTCATATTCTTCCACTGTTTTTCAGAATATCATACCACCTAGATCTTATACCTGCATGATTCCTATTGAGTGCAGCTGTTGTTGGTTGCGTTTATTCACAATGATCCATCGCTATCATAGTTAGAGGCCATTATGGGTTGTGTTTCAGAGGATAATGAGCATGTGAAAGTGATTACACGCTACGATTGACTATTCTTTTCCGTTAGTAGGATGCAGCCAGTTCTGACGTTGCCTGCCTTCTATCAGACAACAAGTACTGCCAGGAGGGACTAGTAATGAATCTCATTGCTCTCAGCTTCTGTCCTATGTCTCCTCTCATAATAGGCAAATCTGAGACAGTTGAGTAATAATAACATGCTAACATATTTTATTCCACCTTAGAAGTTTTCCTTCTACAAAATGAATGTATTTAGAATAATTCCACCCTAGGCTTTGTGTATGGTATATTTTATTATCAGTCCTACAACTGTCTGGATTCCTCTGTTTGCAAATGTCAAGGTACAATATGAAGGACTTTCAACACTGTGCAAGGAATGCAAGTCTAAATTAGATGTCTTTTTGTGCCCTACCTTTGTGTGGGTTCATATTGTATTACTTTTTATACCTTTGTATTTTTACTTCTTATGTAAAGGAAATGAAAGCTACTGTGGTCTGCAAATGTGTTTGTCCATTGTTTTATGATTACTCTTTAAAACTGAGTATGTGAAGCATAGGCAAAGTATAACTTGGCATTAGCATATGCATGAACAGTGTTTGCTTGCAATTTGTGTTTAGATTTATTAACCTGGAAACATTTTATAGAACTCTGCAACTGGATCACCATCAATGCCCATTGATGCGATAGAGGAGGGTGGAATAAGCCTCTAGAAATGCAAAAGCAAACTTTGGTCCTCCAGATTTGGTGAAACTACAAATACCATCATGGCTCTGGGAGTCATGCCCGTGGCTGTTAGAGTCTTGCAATGCTTCATGGGACTTGTAGTTTTCTTCACAGCTAAATTCTAGGAATGAAGAGGACACTAACATAGAATGTCAATGTATTAAAAAAAAAGTTTAAGGCCCGTTCACACCTGAGCGTTTTACCGCACGTTCCTACGCTCGGTAAAACGCGCAACAGGTGAAAACCCATGTTTGCCTATGGGCATGGTTCTCACCTGCGCGTTTTACCGCCCGTTCGATAGCGTGGTAAAACGCCATACGCCCAAAGAAGTACATGAGCTTCTTTGGGGCATATTAACGCCCGTATACCACTGTTATCAGCCGGATACCCCCTCGGAAACTCGCGTTTGACGCGCGTTTCTTTAACCGCAAATCGCCGTAAAACCGTGCGGTAAGAAACGCGCGGCAAACGCGAGTTTCCAATACGCTAAGGTGTGAACCCAGCGTAAATACCTTAATTTTGCCCCAAAGTCCAGGTTTCAAAGTGATGAGTCTAGAATAAGTTCACCTGAGCCCACTCAAAACTTTGACCACTACCCCCCTCCCGACCCAAATAGGGAGGGCGTAACAAAACTGTTAGCTCAATCAGTGGCAGCCGAGGCCTTATCCTCACCTTTGTTACGCGTTATTGCGTGGCCGGGAATGATTGGCCAGGGAGAGAGGTGTGTCACTAACAGTTTTGCGTGGACTTGGGCAAACTCCAGTGACCTGGGTGCGCACTAAGCTCTCACACATCACTAGTGTCTACTTTCCCAAAAGGAGTCATTTTGAAAGTGTTTCTACTCTCCTGGCATTTTAAAGCCTCAAGAAATGTAATGGGTAGTCAGAACATCAGGGTTGACACATTTTAAATATATATACCATAGTTTGTAGGCTCTATAATTTTTACACAGACAAAATAATATATATTTTTTAGGGTTTTGAATTCCCCAAGGAAATGGAACAGAATACATTTTGGCCAAAATTGACGAAGAAGGAATATTTATGTAATGTGTTCTATGACAGAAAGCAAGTGAAACTGTTTTTTTTCCCCTTCATATATAAAAAAAATAAAAAAAACAGTGGTCATTAAATACCACCAAAAGAAAGCTCTGTCTCAAAAACATTATTTACAATTTTTTTGGGTACAGTGTTGCGTGGCCGAGTAATTGTCAGTCAAACTATTCCTTCCAGCACTGAAAAATGCCTGGACAGGAAGGGGGTGTAACATGCTGATCCTGAAGTGGTTAAATTAAACAGATAAACTTGACATTTGTTGAGGACTACATTTTGACTTAAAGAAGAACTCCAGGAAAAAAAATTATTAACCCTAGCACTGCACTGCATGGGATCCCTGCCCGTTTTTGTCTAGGTTTAAAAAAAACAAAGTTATACTCACCCGATGCTCCGAGCTGGCTTGTTCTTAGACCGGTCCCTAGAGCCTCTCTCCCCCTCCTCTGCAGTAGTCTAAGGTCCTGTAAATCATCCCGTCTATACACTGTGTAGGGATATGAGGACGCTGAGGAAGATTCCAATGCTGCAGTGGAGGAGGAGAGTGGCTGTGGGGAACGCTGTGACAGCTGACCGGCTCGAAGCTTTGGGTGAGTATAAGGTTTATATTTTAGCACCTAGAAAAAAATGAGCACTTAACCCTTGCCGTGCGGGGATAGCCCCACTGCACGGGTTAAAAAAATGTTTTTCTGGATTCCGTCTTTAATAAATAAACCTGTTGTCACAGGCACCCACAGCTTGTGTGATAGTGAAGACATGTCCTTCAAATTTCTTTCAAGATTACATATTAAAGCCACATATACTTTAATGAAACAGTGGAGATAGGCAAAATCATTTAAAAAGTGTGTGTGTTACCAATGTGCCCATATGCACATGTTTCTATGCATGACCTGTAGCAGAACGAAAGAATCATTTACATTAGCAGTAATGGTCCATCTGGTTGGCTGTGGGTAACCCAAACCTGCAGCTTCCCATTTACTTATAAGCAGGTAAATTGTCCATTCATCTGATGATTCTCTGACTCGCACAATTCAACTTACCTTTTTATTGGGGATGGGGCGATGATTTTTGTGGTGCCTTCACTTTCTCCATTTTCTAAGTTTGTTGTTATCTGCTCTAAATGATTTGAGGCTGTAGATGGAGAAAATAACACATTTTGTTAGTGGTTTCTTTGTTGTCAGGCATTTCAAAGGAATACTAATGTTATACTACAGCTATTTCAGCATGTGCACATTGTCTACTCAAATCAGCAATGCAAAATCCAAAATGCCCCTTGGGGCTATAAGCACAAGACAGAGATGAACAGGTTCCTTTGAAGTAGTTTGCTCTATGCTGATATAGCTGTATTGTCAAGCTGGTGTGATTTCTGGAAAAATTGTGTTGGGTTAGTGAGAGGAATAATGCTGAAGTCAGCAGTACTGAAGATTGTTTTGCAGAATTTCATCATTTTTTTTCGGATGTTCCATTCACTAGTAAAGCTCTTAGCCATTTTATTCTGGATCCCTGAAAGAACTAAATTCTCCTTCTAGCTGTGCTCTAACTACACAATGGGACTTGGGCTAAGAATTGGAAGATGTGCTGATGGGGCATGTTTTATTTACACATATGTTGCTTAGTCAAATATTGCAAGATGACAATGTTCAGAAAATCAAATGATTTGTCAATAAATTTAAAATGTACAAAAGCTTTCTTCATTGTGGATTTAGTATTTTAACTGCAGGCAAACGGCTATATAAACAGCTGAAACTGTCTTGGATGTCATGAAGAAAAGCATGGTTTTTGGCATTTACCAGAGGGTCAGCATAACTAAAAAGATATTAAAGCCACAGGGCAAAACAAACTGTCAAGGAACAGCAGTAGGTCAGCAGTGGCAGTGCCTATATTTCTACCATGACAGTTTTCCATTAACTTATACAGAAAGGACAATGCTTAGTTAACTATTAATTAGGAATTGGCAGCTGAAAAGGACATTTTCAAATGATCTGTTAGAGAACTGTGGAGTTAGGGCTTTTCCCCATAGTTCTCCTTAGGGTAACGGGAGGACACAAACTAGCGTCCTCTCGTCACCCTAAGCTCAGTATACAGCGAGATACAGCTCGCGGTATACTAAGACGCCGCAGCTGGAGCTGATCCTGACAATTATGTCTGGATCCGCCCAGCTGCGTGAGTGACAGCTGACTCTGCCTATCTAGAGGCAGAGTCAGCTGTACCCGCCCCCTCCCCCGTCCGTTCCGCCAGTCAGCGCTGGAGGATCGGGGCGGGGAGGAGGGAATCCAGCCCCTCCCCTGTCACGGCAGAGTCAGGTCCCCCTAAAACCAGTGTAATTTTACCATTATACGAGAGTCATTGGATTAGAAGGATGGCTTGGTACCTGGCTGCTGAGTAAGTGCTGATCTTTTGGGATAGGTTTTGCTCCGGTTCCTCTCCACTCTTTGGTCAGGTCTGGGAAGCTGGATGGATAGATCTCTGCTCATTTGGGAAGCAGTCCTACCACTAAAGAAAAGGTAAAGCACATAACAACACATCATAAAACCAATTACTGGCCCAGACCCATTCATTATAATGAACAGAAAATAGCAGAAGTGGAGCTGTTGCCAGTAGCAGCCAAACAGGTTTCACCTTTAATTCTATAGAAAAATTGAATTCTTTTGATAGTCTTGGCTTACTCCTCCTATTTTCCCCCTCCCTAACTAGAGTGCTTTTTAATTTTTTCTTTTTTTTTCCCCTCTCTTATTTAATCTTATACCACCTTTTATATATTTTTCTCATCCCATTAAAATACACCTAACATTTGTGCTTGGTCCTGTACACTAAGACTTGCTCTATTTCCTCTGACATATAATGCTAAAAACTCGACTGGGTATCTCTCTTGACTCTCTCTGTCTGGTAGATCGGAATTTTTTTTTAAGCATTTCCATAAAAGTATTTTTTTTTCTTTCTGATATAGGCTCCATCTATTGTTTACTGCCACTTTATTGTAACTCTTGTTGTTCACATGTTGTATATGCCTTGCAGAATATAAATAATGAATTACAAAATAAAATTGATGGCTAAAAAATGAATGCTGCCAGGCAGCCTGTGTAGTTCAAGCAGCCTGTATTGCTGACTGGAGCACTGACTGGTGTGGGTTAATTATCCTGTGTCTTGCTGGCTGCAGCCCTGACTGGTGTGGGTTAATTATCCTATGTCTTGCTGGCTGCAGCCCTGACTGGTGTGGGTTGATTATTTTCCTGTGTCTTGCTGGTCTAGTCAGCTGTGGCTTAATTGATCTAACCACACAAGCTCTGGGATTGGCCTTGTTGCTGCTGGCGCCCTATCTGAACATCATCAGCCTGTTCACCAGTGCTTGTGATAGTTCTTGCTATACAAGCTATGCTCTGTCTCTGCAAATCCTGTGTTTGGAAATCTTGTTTGTCTTCGGTTCTGACCTTGGCCTGTCCCTGGATTACGCTTTGCCTTTTGACAGCCCTGACCTCAGCTTGTGCCCGGACTACCCTTTGCCGGCCGCCTGCCCGGTCAGGGCGGTTAGACTGTTCCCGGATTACCCTTGCCTGCCACCAGCCTTGGACCTCAGCTCGTCCCTGGTTACTCTCTGGTAGGGTCTTTCTCCTTCTGTCCATAACTCAGTTGAGCTAATAGAAAGACTTAGGACAGACTGAGCATCTACTAATTAACATACAATAAGGGGAATGTATCAAAACTGGAGCAGATAAAATCTGGAGCAGCTGTGCATGGCAACCAATCAGCTTCTGTGTTCAGTTTGTTCAGTTAGGATTTGAAAATGAAAGATAGAAGCTGATTGGTTGCCATGCACAGCTGCTACAGATTTTGTCTGCTCCAGTTTTGATAAATTCCCTTCAATGTCTTCAGGGCTTTAACTTTTAGTTAGGACAGACAGTCCTGCTCACCTAGTTTACAAGTGAGCGGGACACAGTACAAGAAGAGATAATTATTTGAAACAAAACTGCCGCCAACACCCTTAGACAGTGAGAATTTATCAGAATGTTTCAGTACTAAAGTTTGCAGAAAGAGCATCTAAAAAAGTAAGCTGCAATTTGTATTTATTTTGTGCAATGTGATTCAGAAAATGTAACAAATTTAAAATAGATGTTATCCCAAATTGGCTGCAAAAGTGGAAATACTTCACACCCACTTATATGTCATAATGTTTCTATAATTATAATGTATACAATTACTGGTCAGACATGATCATCATGAGTGGGTAGATTAATATGTTGTCCAAACATAACACTGCATACAACAAAGAGGCCTTCGAAAACATTTACACACCGCAGATAAATTCTTAATTGGCCGAATTCCCATGTGAGGTAAGACGGTGTGAGAGTATACACTATGCACTGCACATGACATCACAATGAGTCACTAGCAATGAACAAAGTCCAACCTATTATACAAATACATGTCTTACTATGCCACAGATAAATGCTTATTCATTCCACCCACCTGTACCTATGCCGTGATCCCAAAGAGCCAAGTTTAGTCAGCTTCCTTGATAGTGTACTTGAATCATTTTCTGGGATCCTTAAATATGTAAACAATAAATGACGTAATAAAAAAACATTTATAAAACATCTACTATAAAAAAGAAACATTTTGAAGTGTTCATGTTTACAGTTTTAAAAGAGATATTTTAATTTATTTTCACATATTGTAAACTCAGGCTTACAAAAAGCAAGCAAACACCTCCGTGGTTTTGTGTGTGCATCACAATGCTAAACAACACACGTTATAAAAACACGTGTTAACCAATGAGTCCATTCATATATATGTGCTGCATTGCAGTGTATTTTGGCAATGAAAGCATGTGAATTTTGTATGCAATTCCATGTGCTGTGAGGCCTATAGAAGTCTATGGCAATGCATGAAAATGCACCTATAAATGTATTGTTTACATGCAGGTTTAACATTTTACTTGGTATCAGCATCTTGCAGTCTACTGTACAACATCCCTACAGCACCCAGCAATTCATCGCTAATGTGTAAAATCCGGCTTGCTGCCAGGTAGGATTTGTATAATAAGCAGCAGTCTTCCACACATAATATACTTATTATTAGGGCTATCTTACTTAGCTAGTGCAATATCTAAAGTAAAACTTTTTCCTGGAGTTCAGTATTTGAAATAGCTTAAAATCCTTTTAAATTTGATGTCCCTTTAACTGTGCAGCCCAACCCTACAATCCGACATTTTAGCCCCCCCCCCCCCCC